ACCTTAGAGCCGGCCGGCCTTATCTCCATGTCTGGGATGGTTTCCTTAGTAACCTCGGATTCCTATTGCACCTTTCTTTGATTTTCGAGGATTTTTATCTTTGGAACCTATTGGTCTACCACGTTTCTTTCGTGTGTTAGACTCGGTAGCAATTTCATTGATTCGCTTTTGGATATCAATACGTACTGGTGCATTACAAGCTGGTATGTACGTTTTTGTAACTTTCTTTGGGTCAGCAAAGGAATCTGGCAATGTATTAGCTAGCTTTTCAAATGTATAATCTTATGGACCTCTGATTCTCATGCCAGAGTCCGAGGATCTTGCCAATTTAAGGATGTTTGATTTCATTATATTTCTTTTATTGCTTTACCCAGCTTGTTCGTCTCTCCACCTATAGTAGGAAACTCGGATTCATTAAAATGACAATCCGCGTATCTAGCCTTAAATAGATCACCCGTAGTTGGCTCTAGATACTTAATAATGGTGGGAGAATCAAATCCAACATATATTCCCATCCTCCTTTGAGGTCCCATCTTTGTTTCTATGTGGTGGAGCAATCGGTACATATATGGCACACCCGAAAGTCTTTAGATGGGATATGTCTGGCTCATGACCCATAAGTAATTGGGATGGTGAATATCTATGTTCACTAGATGGCCTTATGCGTATAAGTTCTGATGCATGTAAAACAGCGTGTCCCCAAGCGGCTACTGGGAGCTTCGACCTCATGAGTAATGGTCGAGCTATCAATTGAATTCGTTTAATGAAGGATTCCGCTAATCCATTCTGTGTATGTACATGTGCTACGGGATGTTCCACACTTACCCCCATGGACATACAGTAGTCATTAAACGCTTGGGACGTGAATTCACCGGCATTGTCTAGACGTATAGTCTTAAGCGGAAAATCTGGAAAGTGGGCTCGCAGTCTTATTATCTGGGCCAATAACCTAGCAAACACTTGGTTTCTAGTAGATAGGAGACAAACATGCGACCATCTTGTCGATGCATCAATGAGGACCATACATATGTCTCCTTGTATCCTTTCCAGAAATTTTAAGGTCTCTTTATTTACCTTAGCCGGTGATGGCCTTATAATGAGTTTCCCTTGTGAACATGCTTCACACGTGAGATTCTTAGGGATAACTCTTTTCTCTCTTAGGGTGTGCCCCTTTGAATTAGTTATTAGTTTACGCATCATACTATGACCCGGATGGCCAAGCCGGTCATGCCATAAAGTGAATTTCTTGATGAACTCTTTGTTCATTGCCATATTAGCTTCGATCATATCGATTTTAGCATAGTAGAGACCAGTGGATAATGCGGGTATAGTCTCTTAGGACTTTCTTATGTCCTTGGGTGATCTCAATTATATTTAGGAATTCTTTGTTCCCTTCACCCTTTGTTTCAATATGGAAACCATTCAATCTTATATTTTTGAAACTTGACAAGCTCCTCTTCGAGCTGGGTGAATATAGGGCATCGCTTATTTCAAGATGCGTGCCCTTTGATAAAAGTATATGGGCATGACCATGGCCCTCAATAAGACTAGCTATACCCGCTATGGTGCTAATATTGGCATTTTTCATTATGAGATTTAGGAAAATATCTCTTATCTTTTGTGTGGCTCCACTATCCACCACAATTATGTTCTTGTCCTCGGCCATTTCTTATATGGACAAGAATCATGTTCTAAACATAAAATAATATAAAATAAATTCAAGCAAATAACAATCAATGAACACATAAAATGCAAAGAAAAACATAGAGGTTTTGATGTCGAAGTAAGATTTATCAACTTGATTCTTTTATGCAATCAGAAGTTTCATACTCTATTAGATCATCTTGATCATGTTCACCATCTTTATATACCAAATGGGCTTTAGGATTCTTCCCTTTTACACTCTCTTGATAGAGGTCACAACGATGTTTGGAAGTCCTACATATCTTAGCCCAATGGTTTCCCATTCCATATCTATGGTATACTCATTTGGTCGAGTGTTGTGGTTTGGAAATACCACATCGTCCTCGCCCTCGACCACGGCCGGAATTGGGTCTACATCCACGGTTATAGTGGTTCCCATGGCCGGATGAGTTATAGTGGCCACAACCACGTCCTTTCAATACCACATCTATGGCATACTCATTTGGTCGAGTGTTGTGGTTTGGAAATACCACATCGTCCTCGCCCTCGACCACGGCCGGAATTGGGTCTACATCCACGGTTATAGTGGTTCCCACGGCCGGATGAGTTATAGTGGCCACAACCACGTCCTTTCCATCCACCACGGTCACGGCCGTGTGGTCTATCACTTTAGACGTGGTTAGATTCTTTGGATTCTTTCTTATCCTCTGCGGCCTTATTGGCATTAGGTAATGGGGTTAATCTATGAGGTCGTAACTCACTGTTTTTATCTGTAAGTCATTATTTTTTTTTTTTTTTTTCATCTAGCAATAGACTCATCCACGGACTTATAGTCCTGGATTATGAGACTCTCAATAAGATGGTGGCTAATATTGTCTTGTATCTATCTTTCTCTCTTGGCATTCTTGCCTTATTAGATACATTCACCAAGTCCTTTTGACTTTAGGATAATCTTAGTATCCATTGCCCATTTTAAAATAATTATCTCCTAAGAAATTTAGGGCAGTAAAGTACAAGTTGTAATTCAACATCTACAAGGAAAAGTTTTGAGTCAAAATCATGTAATCGTTAGTGTCATGCGGTATTTTAGACCGAACCATGAATCGATTTACTTAGGGATTTGACTTTCCTCTTTTGCTTAGGATTAGATTTCCTCTTTTTATTAGGATTAACTTTTCCTTTTCCTTTTTAGGATTTACTTTCCTCTTTACTTTAGGATTAATTTTCCTATTTCACTTATGATTTTAGATTTTAAGATTTCCTATTTTAATTAGGATTTGGAAATTTTCTATTTCTTAAAGTTTTCCTATCTTGAATAGGATTTATGAATTTCCTAATTTAATTAGGATTTAGAGTACAATAGGATTTAGGATTTTATTTAAGTTTTCATGCTTTCTATTAGAATTTTAAAGTTTCCTATTTTATTGAGGATTTTAAGATTCCCTATTTAGGATTTAGGGTTGTTAAGATTTCCTATTATCTAGGGTTTCCTATTTTATTTAGGATTTTAAGGTTTCCTAGATTTTAGGGTTTCCTATTTTATTTAGGATTTTAGGTTTTAGGGTTTTGAGATTTCTTTTAGGATTATCTTTTCTAAGTTTTCTAGGGTTCATGCAATTTTAGTTTTAGGGTGTTAAGCATGTAATCAATCAAAGGAGCAAACAATCTAACAACCTAAACAATCTCAATCAAGCCGATTTAAACTTATGGAATTTTTTTGGATTAGATTCGTTTTAGGTTTTAGGTTTTTAGACCTTTAAAGTTTCGGTTATTAGCTTATGTATTTTCGTTTTGCGATTTTAGGTTTAGACAATTAAAACTTCTCTAGCAACTTAGGCGAGTTTAGCTTAAGCGATAATCAACTTTTTCTAGCAACCTAAACGAGTCAAACAATCGAGCAAACAAGCAATCGGATCAAACAAGCAATCAAATCATACAAGCAAAGCAATCACTTAATCAATCATCATTCGTTTTAGGGTTTCTCTTTGCTTAACTTTCAAGTTCAATTGTTGGTTCTTTAGCTTTAGGGTTTTGATGTTACCTTTCACCTTATGGGGTTGTATGGACTAGAACCGGGAGCTAAAGACCTCGGTAACTCACGCTGCTGCAACGAACCGCAAACAGTACCACGATAAACAGTACCGCGATGAACAGTACCGCGATGAACAGTACCGCGATGAACAGTGCCGCGATGAACAGTGTCGGCGATGAACAGTGTCGGCAATGAACAGTACGGCGATGAACAGTACCGAGATGAACAGTGTCGGCGATGAACAGTGCCACGATTTTTAGGGTTAGGGTTTTAGGGTTTTCGTTAAGAGCAAGTCGTGCTGATAACGTGTTGTAAACTGTGTTGTTCTATTGATTAATGAATGAGATTTCGATACATATATATACATGATGAGGGGAGACAAATCCCCATTGGGCTAGTAAACCCTAAAGCCCAAAAGCCCACTAAGTACAATATAGGCCGTCATAAGGAGAATCTTCAAGAACATGGGCATGGGCCTTCTAGGACATGGACATGGGCCTTCTAGAATATGCATAAGGTCCACGGTTATGGAGTCCATCCAACATGTGGTTTATAACACCAAATGGTTTGGATCCGGTATAGTTTTTCTTTTTCTTGGACAATAGACCATCTTCATCAAGAGTTTTTTTATGGAGTTCTCATGATTAAAAAAAGTAAATATAATCAAAAAGTAGGAGAGATGTTAAAATACGTTTCTCATTTGACAAACGTTGAGAAACGGTTTCTTAATTTTTGACATACTTATTTGACATATGTCATTGTTTAATTGGTCTAACTTTTAATTTATGATTTAGAATTAAATATATAATCAAAATAAATAAAATAATATATTGAATATGCTCAATGAATTTCTTACTGATGTTGATGCTCTAACACTAGATTATTTAAGCTCACAACTAGCCTTCTTAGGGCAAAGTACAAGTAACCAAAATTTGCATATTCATATTGAACATAACAAATTGTAACCATTTGCAAAATTGAATCAAACCAAACAGGTTATGTAACAATCCTCTGTGGGTTTTATATTACATGGACTATTATACAATTGGAAGCCCGTTAATATAAGCTTTACAATTAGCTTTTGGGAAAAAGAAGAAGAAGAATCTTGTTATAATGGTTAAATAAACATAAGCAAATTCAAATATGCGTATAAAAAGTGATAATTTGGATAAATAATTGTTGTTTCAAGTGAAAATTTATTTGAATGAATTAGTCACTTTTGTATAATTTCCAAAAATAATCATTGGATTTTTTAAAAAACATTTGTGTATATGTCTGATAGAACCATTTTAAAAATAATTTTGTTAAATTTAGTAGAGAGACCTACTAGACTTTTCAGTGCCCTCTTGATACTGCTGGGTAGCTCAACCAACAACAAACTGAGGAAGGTAGAGCGAGCGAGAGAGAGAGAGAGAGAGAGAGCTTTGGGTGTTTTGCTTGAGGCTTCGATTTGAAGTCGTAGATCTTCCACTCTGGCTTTGCGTTCTACAAATTCCTCCTAATTCGAAATCTTCGCGGGACTCTGGAATTGATCGGCGATGGCGGTGGGCGATCAGACGGAGCAGAATTACTTGCCGAAGAAGAAGAAATCCGAAACGGAAGACGATAAGAGGTTCACGTGCTTCTCTTTCCTTTGGAATCTACGTTGAATCAGTCGATTTTCTTTGCTGGGACTAGTGAATAGATCATTAATTTGAGAATTGTATGTGGAATAGGAGGAAGAAAATTGTTCCCGGGAGCTTGTTGAAAGCTGTGGTGAGACCTGGAGGAGGTGATTCGAGCCCTGTTGATGGTGATCAGGTAAATAAATTTGGCTTTGTTTTGCTTCTCGTGTGGAAAAGAATCAGGAAGAGTGGTCAATTTTGATGGTTATGTATATGTGCTTTTTTTTTTTTTATCAGGTTATTTATCACTGCACTGTACGGACACTGGATGGTGTAGTTGTGGAATCTACGAGGTCAGAATGTGGAGGTGAGACCGGCGAAACATTTCTTAGTAGGGAGTTAGGATGAGTTTTTTTTTTTGTTTGGGACTCATCGAATGTGTTGTTTGATGTTCCATCAGGGAGAGGTTTACCGATTAGAGATGTCTTGGGAAAGAGCAAAATGATCCTTGGATTGCTCGAAGGTATTCCTACGATGCACAAGGGCGAAACTGCAATGGTAATTCTTTATAAAGATCCGTTGTTGTTGTGTGTTTACTGAACTCATCTCTTGCTTCAAAGATAAAAGTTTTTTCGAGTGCTTTGCCATTTTTTGTTTACTTCAAACTGTCCCTCTTTAGTCGGCTTCGTAGTTTGGTCTTTGAAGAGGGTTTAGTTGATTTACTTGAGTTACATGAACTTCAATGAGTTGATGCGCCAAATCCTTCTTAGCTGTTTCAGATCACTTTCTTGATTCTTCACGGCTGAAGAAGTCTTTATACTTTTTTTGTTTCAGTTCAAGATGAAACCTGAAATGCATTATGCAGAGAACAATTGTCCAGTTTCAGCTCTAGGCAATTTTCCAAAAGATGACGAGCTTCATTTTGAGATTGAATTGTTGGATATTTCCAAAGCCAAGGCAAGATCTCATCTCAAACCAAAGATAACCGTGCATTAGTTAGCCGAAAGACTCTGAAATCTTTCATTTCATCTGTTTTGACTTGAGCTTTCGTTCCCTTTGTGTTAATGTTCAGATTGCAAGTGATGATCTTGGGGTCATCAAGAAGGTAGGACCTGATTTTCCATATATGTAGACATATCAATTGGGTCAGGGATAATGTATTTCTTTAGTGGCTCGGGCAAGGGTAGTGCAAGGAAGAATAATGTGATCCAAATATTTCTTGTTTTAACTGATTGCTCTAGCATTGCTTTATTTTTATATGAAAGATTCTAAATGAAGGTGAGGGCTGGGAATCTCCCAGAGAACCCTATGAAGTAAAAGCCAGGTAATTTAATTCTTGATCATTCCTGCATTTTGGTTCGAAAAAGTATTTAACTCTGTTTTCCCTTGTGGGCTGCAACGTTGGGTGAAGTTTTAATGCATTTTTGTGTTGTATATTAGAATATCTGCTAAATCCGGTGATGGGCAAGTGATCTTCTCTTACGCAGAAGAACCTTATTTCTTCACATTTGGAAAATCTGAGGTAATTGTTAAGTTCATGGGTCAGTTTCATCTTTTTACTCTCTGTCCATGCAAATCCAGTCTAGTGGAATACATTTCTGACTATTGCTCGTCAATTAGGCAGGTGCCTAAAGGTCTTGAAATCGGAATTGGAACCATGGCTCGGAAGGAGAAGGCAGTGATATATGTTCGCAAGCAGTACTTGACTGAATCTCCTTTGTTGCATATAGATCAGGACCTTGAGGAAGTTCATTTTGAGGTTGAACTGGTACATTTCATTCAGGTATATAAAAGAAGAATGCAATAAGAAAACAGTATTTTCCGCATTTAAGAATTGGGAAACTGAGCGACTGACTTTCACGTTCTCGTTTTGGAGGTGCGGGACATGCTTGGAGATGGACGTCTCATAAAACGTCGAGTTCGAGATGGAAGAGGTATGTTTCACACTTTCTTTTCTACTGTTTCTTATCTGTTTCAACATGGTGCGGGTTGTTGTTCTTCTTCATCTTGCTGGGGCATCTGCTAGATTCCAGCTCTTGTTTTCGGTATATTTAGTTTATCCGCTAGACTATTCTGATCTGCAACGTTTCACCAACTTATTAGGCGAGTTTCCAATGGATTGTCCTCTCCAAGATAGTCGGTTAAGCGTTCACTACAAGGGCATGCTTCTCAATGAAGAGAAAACTGTCTTCTATGATAGCAAGATTGACAATAATGATCAACCGTTGGAGTTCAGTTCAGGAGAAGGACTGGTCAGTTACTCCAACGTTTATAGATAAACCTAGTGGAGATATTTACACGTTTTAGTTGAAATACATCTCTGGGCATGGGCTGGTTAAGATTATTCTGTCGTATTTGCAGGTCCCTGAGGGGTTTGAGATGTGTACTCGTTTGATGCTACCTGGGGAGATTGCTCTTGTTACATGCCCCCCTGATTATGCATATGACAAATTTCCGAGGTTATACTCTTAACTGTGTAAATAACACCAACATGATAGAGTATAAACTGTTGTCGGAGAAATAAGCGCATTTCATGTTTTGTTTCCTGATAGACCACCTGGCGTGTCTGAAGGTGCACATGTTCAGTGGGAGATTGAACTCCTTGGTTTCGAAACGCCAAGAGTAAGTTGGTCTAGTGTTGATGCTTACCATATAAATTGTAAACAGTTTCCGTTTCTTATAAGTCTAGAGATTCTGTCTCAGGACTGGACTGGCTTGAACTTCCAGAGCATCATGGACGAAGCAGATAAAATCAGAAGCACGGTATGGATAAAATATTCTGCTACCAATTATAATTTGACATATTGTCCTAAATTTTATCACTTCAGAATTTGCTATTAGCTAATCTTGTCTGCAATCAGGTCACTCCAGATCTATTAACTTATGGTTCTTCTCTGCTTTTGGTTATACTATGAACTTCAGGGTAACAGGCTTTTCAAAGAAGGAAAATTTGAACTCGCAAAAGCAAAGTACGAAAAGGTAATAGAAGCCGTGTGATAACCAATTCCATTATTACATTTGTTTCATTGTGTCTGAGCGGTGAATCAAAAACCAGGTGCTCCGGGAATTTAATCATGTTAACCCACAAGATGAAGATGAAGGAAAAATATTTGGTGACACAAGGGTGAGTTCCATCTTCTCATTATATCTGTAGTTACAGATATGTCTAGATCTGATAATTTTCGAAGGTTAAGTACTAACTAGCTCTCGTATCCTTGCTCTGCTGATATTTGAAGAATATGTTACATCTGAATGTTGCGGCTTGCTTGCTTAAAATGGGAGAGTGGAGGAAATCTATAGAGACATGCAATAAGGTAACATTCAATAAATAAATCTCTTAAGAAGGCGCTTTATTCTCGAATCAGAGGTTGGGATTTCTGAGAGCTTTTGTGCACCAATTTCCAAACAGGTCCTAGAAGCAAAGCCTGGTCATGTGAAAGGTCTCTACCGCCGCGGAATGGCTTACATTGCAGGTGGAGAGTATGATGACGCTAGAAATGACTTCAATATGGTATATTTTGCTAAAACTGTTTATCATAATCCAATCAACAGATTTAGAAATCTGCTTACTACATGACTTATGTGCCTGTGTTTTAGATGATCAAAGTGGATAAATCATCAGAAGCTGATGCGACCGCTGCTCTATTGAAAATGAAGCAAAAGGAACAGGTCAGTGTTTGAAAACTATCTCAAGTTCTCAACCAAATGTCCAGCCCAATTGAGTTCATTAAGGCTACTTATGTTTTGGGCTTGTTTTGGCCTCGTCACGGGAACGTTGTATCGTTTTGATTGTAGCGCGCCCCC